CATTCTCGTGATAATTTTTATGTTTATCCTTATTGTCATGTTGTAGGGTGTACCTGAATGGTTAAACCCTTACACAAAATTCGGTGATTTATGTCACGGTTAATATTTTCAGATCCCTTGTTTTGAGTTTTAATCTTTCCTTACATGTTATAGTGTTGGGATTTCCGTCGCTTTGGGTCATGGTGAAGTAGTTGTAATACTAATCATGTGATTTGTAAATGACAGATTTATTGTGTTTATTTGTTTTGTATTCCCCAGCATTGTATTGGAATTTCTCTTGTTTAATGTTTCGGCTAATATATCTTATTGAACAATAATACATTAGTTTATTATATATGGTGTACTTTTGAAAACAACATACAACTAAAAATACATTAGTGTATAATATATATGTTAGTACTTCAAAAAACAACATACAACAACTAGAAGTATATATTGTGTTGATAAGATTGAAAAGAAAAAAGTGGGAGTAGATAGATAATGATTTTTTTTTTTGTTCCAAAATAAAAAAATATATATAATCTTAGAACTTAGATCCGATGAAAAATTAACGTGGCGAGACAAGATTGAAAACCACATGAACATACTTATGGTTCATTTCAGCTGCAAAAATCTATTAGGTAGAACCTTAGACTGAACAATGTGGTTGAGCTAATAAAAGGAGAAAGGAAATTGGGCAGATATTAATTCAACAAACTTTCAATTCCTTCCCTTTGAAGCAGAAAAGATTTTACAAATTTATCTGAGCCACCAAAAATAAGTGGACTTTTTAATAAAAGTTTCATGGAAGTGAAATTTATGTTTGCCTAATTAGGCTAAAAATCAAGTTGTAGTCTTTGTAATGATATTAAAACATAACTCTTATAGCCATTCCATTATCATTGCTTAGCCAAAGTTTCCATTCACACTCTTAGTCTTGGAAACTACATCCTCAACAGGGATTTATAATGAAGGAAAATTTTAAAAAATAAATAAATAAAAAAATTGGTTTGTGAATTGTTATCGAGAATTTCCGTGCGAAGCCCATCGCGTGTTGTCAGCGCTCGCATCGCCATGGCTGGCCGCTGCTTGTCACCAGTGAACGGTTGTGACCTTTGCGTTTGGAGGCGAGCGGCGGTGGCTCGAGGGATCTGGCTTCCAGAAATTAGGGCTTTGAGCTCGCGTCCACATTAATGGCGGACGAATTAAAAAAAAAAAAGATCGATCACTTGGAGGAGAGCTGAGGTGGCTCGAAGTCGAGGGATATGTGGCTTCTGAAAATTCAAGATTTGAGCTTTTGGATGCCATTAATGGCGGACGAATTAAAAAAGAAAAAAAAAAACTTCGACAGCCTCACAATTCTCATAGTTGAAAAGTTGGAATTCATGGTGTAGAGATTTTTGACGTTATTGCGGAGTGAAAAATTTGTTGAGAAGGGGAATTGATGGAATTAAATATTAATTGGCGTTATTGGGATTGAAATTTTGTTGAGAAGGGGAATTCATGGACTTAACTGGCGCCAATTACCTACCTTATTAACTCAAAGAATAAAATATATATTATATATATTTATATTTTTTTAAATTGGCGGGCTGGCCCGCGGCCTGCCGGGCTCAACCCCCCAAAACCCGTGGCCCGCGCGGGCCAGCCTGCTTAGGTCCGCTCTTTGGCGGGCCTGTAAAAGTGTAGCCCAACCCACCTATTAGGCGGGGCGGGGCGGGCCGGCATGCGGGCTCAGTCCCGTTTTGACAAGTCTAGCTACCATGTTGGAAATTTTTCACAATTGAAAGGGTAAATCAATAAATTCGTGTTTTATCCTAACAAATGTCATGTCCCACAAACACAAAAATAAACTTTGTCCTATCTTTTCCTTCCACGCAATGATGGCCCCCAAACTGAATAATCTTACCATCCTCCATTATTTTAATCTAATCTCATCTTAGCTAGCAAACACAACATTTAATGTCAACTAACCTTCAATTTATAAGAAAAAAATTCATCTTATAAATGTTATCTTGTGTATCGTTTGGGTTAAACATTAATTTACGGCAAAATGAATTTGAGAATTGTTCGGTTACATGATATTAGTACCTAACTTTCATTGATCTCTAGATTTTTTGCAGTTTAGTCCCAACGAATTAAGATAATTTAATCACACCTGTTACCCCTTGATAGCTTTATCTATCGTTACGAATTTGAATGTCCGATCCCGATAAAATTATTTCGGTTGCAATCAAGGTTAGCAAGCGTAGGATACATTCTAGATAACCTCCTTAATCCTAATTATTAACCTAACGAGAACTGCGACGGGTGGGGGCTTTGGTGTGGAAGGTCATGAGGTTTAGGTCTCTCGGGGCTCGTTGGTGGTGGACTAAGGGGTTTGCTTCGGGCCTGTCGGACAGTTTGGATTAGCCGTTGGTTGGAGTTTTCCATACTGGGCTGGGGGAGACAAAGCTTTCCTATTGTGGTTCATTGTCGGGGTGTCAATTTGCACCGTGACGGTTCGATGCTCGTTGCGTCTGGTGGGGGGACCTTATTTTATTTTTTTAGTTCAGTTTGTCTTTTATTTTGTTTGGTATTTGTGTTATAAGTGTGCGTTTGTGTTTTCTACTCCCGAATGGGAGTATGTTTTTTTTCCATTGGGTGCGTGTATTATCCCATTGGGGTTGAGTATTCTCCTATGGGGAAGTGTATTTTTCGTTTGTTGTCTGTGCGTTCTTTGTTGTGTTCTCTAAGCTACTCTAGGTAAGTTTCCTTTTTCCGGTTAGTGATTCGGGGGTAATTTTGTCTTTCTTTCTATAAATGTTTTTAAAGAAATAAAAAAGAAAAAAAAAAAGACAACCCCAATTCTATATCTAATCTCTCTCTCGCACAGACTGAGTGACGGACTACTCGAAACCAACTCTCCCTCGTTTTCTCCGCACCCAAACCCCCTCTGCTTTCTTCGCTATTCCCCAGCAACCTCCACTCCACCACCACAACCGCCGCCGGCGTCAATGGCTGCTTCCGTTTCCTTCTCCTCCTCCGTCTCCTCCTCCTCCACCCCCCTCCTCCGCCCATCCTCCATCCTGCTTGGCCGCCGCCGTGCCCCTCGCCTCCTCACCGTCCGCGCAAAGATCCGTGAGATCTTCATGCCCGCCCTCAGCTCCACCATGACCGAGGGCAAGATCGTCAGCTGGGTCAAATCCGAGGGTGACGTTCTCTCCAAGGGCGAACCCGTTGTCGTCGTTGAGTCCGACAAGGCCGACATGGACGTCGAGACCTTCTACGACGGGATACTGGCCGCCATTGTCGTCAACGAGGGAGAGACTGCCCCCGTAGGTGCGCCGATTGGCCTTCTGGCCGAGACGGAGGATGAAATTGCCGAGGCTAAGGCTAAAGCCGCGGCCCAATTTACGTCAGCAACCCCGCCGCCCATGACCGAGGCGTCTGCTCCGGTCGCCGTGAAGACTGAATCTCCATCTCCGGCGACTGCACCAGCCCCAGCTTCAGCTTCGGCAACTCCGGGGAAGATTGTGGCGACGCCGTACGCGAAGAAATTGGCCAAGCAGCATAAGGTGGACATCAACAAATTGGCCGGCACAGGGCCGTTCGGGAGGATTACGCCAGAAGATGTAGAGAAGGCGGCTGGAATCACCCCCAAGGGGAATGTTACAGTGTCCGCTGGTCCACCTACGCCTACGCCAGCGCCATCCCCATCCCCACCAAAGGCTGCGGCTAGTTTGCCCGAGATCCCAGGGTCAAAAATAGTGCCGTTCACTGCAATGCAGGCTGCTGTGTCTAGGAACATGGTGGAGAGCCTGAGCGTGCCGACTTTCAGAGTCGGTTACCCCATTGCCACAGACGCCCTTGATGCTCTGTACGAGAAGGTACCCCCATTTTTTTCCCCCATTTTAAAATAGCAGTTACTAATATTATTTTGAGGCGGTTGTTAATTTGGTCCTAATTTGGTGATTTTAATAGTGAGATGCATTATAAGATCAGTTGAATTTCCAGTTTTGCTATGTTAAATGAATTGTCGAATGGATGCAATTTCATATCTTGCAATCATTGCCCGAAAAAAAAGGGAAAAAATACATTGAACTTATTTTTCAGCAGATGATTTCAATAATGAGAAAATTTTTGTTCGGTTAATCATCATAGGTTAAGCCGAAGGGTGTTACTATGACTGCACTGTTAGCAAAAGCTGCAGCAATGGCATTAGTACAACATCCAGTGGTGAACGCAACGTGTAAAGATGGAAAGAGTTTTACTTACAACAGCAGTGTTAATATTGCTGTGGCTGTGGCGATTAACGATGGGTTGATCACGCCTGTTCTTCAAGATGCTGATAAGGTAGAATGTGTGGATATCTAACTATTCGGGATAATAACTTAAACTACCCTTTAGCTTCGTGGTTTTCACATATTACACCTGCCTGCCGGGGTGACTCAATGAATTTCTTAAAATCCAAGGTGACTTTTGAATCCACTCACATTGTGCCAAGACCATGAGTAGAAATTGAATTTGCTGATGCTGTCAAATGGTTTTGAGTTATACCTTGCAACTTACAGAATTCTTACGAATGTCGGCAAAGTTTTTGTTTGGCTATTGTAATACATAGAAAAAAATGAGTGATGTAATTGCCAAATGAGATTTTGGAATAGTTACCGTATCATGAAATGTGGTGAATGTTATTTTCAAATTATTTGGCGGTGTCAGCAAATTTTGTGTTACCTACGCTAACAGCTGGTGCAAGATGTAGGATGGTCGAACCTCAAGAGTGAAAATATTATTATTTGCAGTGACCTTTTCCTTCAAAAAGGACACAATAAATTTTGTCAAACTTGAAGAGTAATTTTTGTTATTATTGCTAACTGGTTACTTCTTCGGGCATTCATTTTATCTTCACTTAGTGACTGTCGATGGATGTTCTTGTTTCATTTGGTAATGTATAGTTGGATCTCTATCTGTTGTCGAAAAAATGGAAAGAGCTGGTCGAGAAGGCTCGGGCTAAGCAACTTCAGCCCCATGAGTTCAATTCAGGTGATTCAATTTGTAGTGGTGGTTTTAATTTCTTGAGAACACATGCAATTGGTGTTATGAGGTTCTCCATGGTTGTATCAAGTGCAATGAATTTGTTTTTGGCATGTAGGGACTTTCACATTATCAAATCTGGGCATGTTTGGAGTGGATAGGTTTGATGCTATCCTACCTCCAGGACAGGTGATGGTCAAGATCTAACAAAAAATATATATGAAAGTCGATGTCTTAATGGCAATTTATGCATTTGCTTAAGTTGTTTGGGTTATCATCATCAGGGTGCTATTATGGCTGTGGGAGCATCAAAGCCTACTGTTATAGCTGGTAAAGATGGATTCTTCAGTGTTAAAAATCAAATGCTGGTAAGTCTTTGTCAAGGAAAAAAGACAAGATAATAGAAGAAAGAAAACATATGATAACTATATGCATTTTTTTCGTTAATAGAACCTCCTACGATAGATATAATCTTCATGTTGTAGGTCAACTTTTACATTACATAATTTCATTTGTGCTGTGAAATGGTTACCCACAGCCGAATTAAATAATATGTGCTGTCACCAGTTCTCAAGTCTCTATATATCTATATTTCTGTCTTTAATGAAGTGCAAGTGTTTATATGTTTGTAGTGGATACAACAAATCCAATTTTTTATGGAAGTAGAAGTTTAGACCAAAACCCTTGTGAGTGACTGTCCTTTTTGGTGTATTTCCGAGATTTTTCTTGTTGAAAAGCAGCAAATGCCCATATTGTTTGTTTCACAAAAAATAAGTTTTCAGCAGGCACCTCAATTAGTTTAGTGTCTACTATGTCCCATATCTTGCCTGGCTACTTTTTTGTGTGATGTGCGCAATAAGTTACGAGGTTTTCTTGCGGAAACCAGAACTTCTGATTTATATGTTGTATATCCTGCCTTCTGCTAGTGGTATATCACGGTAAGTGAAGGACAGTCGAATGAAACAGACAAACACTGAATCAAATGGTTCCAACTTTTTGTGGAAAATAGTAAATCAAATGGTTCCAATTTCTTTATTTTTTATTTATTTATTTATTTATTTATTTTCAGGTGAATGTTACCGCTGATCACCGAATCATCTATGGGGCGGACTTGGCTGGTTTCCTTCAGACATTCTCAAAGATCATTGAGAACCCAGAAAGCTTGACGATGTAGACTACAGTTTAGTTTGATAAGAAGGGTAACAGAGCCGATGCTGAATAACAGGTTCTCCAATTGAAGTTGTTTGTTGTTTTCTTTCGATTTTAAGTATTGGAGGACCATGCAACTGAACATGATCAAGTTTTGAAGAGGTGCTTTAAACTTGTGGAAATAGCTAGTGCCATTTTTCATTTTTTACTTTAATTGTGTACGTTTGGAGGAGTATGGATTTCATTCTTCTGGTAATGGAAATATTCTGTCACTATTGAAATTTGGTGTTGAATTTCATCATATGCTTGGCACTGATACTACAACATTTTTATGCATGCCCAAAGGAACAATGTAGCATTCTATAGATGGAAGAATTATTTATAAAATAACAATTTTGCAACCTTGCAAGCTGACATATCGACTTCTCGTTTTGAAATCAAAAGTTTCACATCCCCATATTTTGCTTCCTTGAGCAAATAACAGGAAAAGTTTTACATCTTCATTTTTATCTTTAATAGTTTAAATGTTTCTTTCTTCTTTGTCAGATGAATCATTGTAGTTTTTCCTCTGCTACAGCATATGTAGTACAGGATATGAAATCATACACAACTCAGAAATCTAAAAATGAGATTATTTCAGATTCATGTATTTTGCAAATCTAAATTTGAACACTTATTCAGCTAAAACCTTTGCAATGACGCCAAGAAGCTATATATCACTTGGCTACTATTTACACAAACTATGGTTACTTAATTTTGTAAAGCATAACTTGATAGACTAGTGAAGTGCGTAATCAAACAGCATTCTTACCACCCTTCAGCCTCGGCCACTAAGCTCAACCTCATCCCCTTGGCCCCCACGAGCCTGAACCGGCTTAAATGTATAATACTTGGCACAAATAAGATAATAAATGAAATTGAAAAACTGCATCAGCGTAATCAACCAATACAGATACTCCAACTTCCCCCGATTCAGATTCCGGTCTGGCAGCCAGTCACTGAACCTGTGCACCAACGTCACCAAAAGCGTGCTCGTGTAGTTTCCAGCCGAAATCGAGAGCCAGAACAATGCAGGGGCCGTGCTGCGCATGCTCTCGGGCGCCTGATCGTAGAAAAACTCGAGATGCCCGATGGACATGAACGCCTCCGCCACCCCGTGCAGACAGTACTGTGGCACGAGCCACACAAATGAGATGGGGATCGTGTCTGCGGGCCGATCCAGAAGCCCATGGGCCCGGGCCACGTCCTTTCTGTGGAGCTCGACGAAGCCCGCGGCTAAGGTGGCGAGGATTGATATGAGGAGGCCTATGGCCATGCGGGTGAGGAAGGAAATCCCGCGGTCGAGACCCGTGAAGTGGCGGGCCACGCGGACGAAGATGCGGTCGTAGAGGAGGATGGTGGCAAGCATGGATGCGTAGGTGAAGACGGACATGGATGCGGGTGGGATTTGGAAGGTGGGGGTGAGGTGGCGGTCCATGGTCTTGGCCTGCTGGAGCGAGAAGGTGTTCTGTTGGGCGTAGGCGGTGATTAGAAGGATGCCTGCGGCCCAGATGGGGCCCATGCGGAGGATGGACTTGAACTCCTCTACGCGGTGGACGGTGGAGAGGGCCCATGGGTCGGGGGATTTAGGGTTGTCGTCAGGGGTCACGATGGCCGCCTTGTCCAGGAACCTGCGCATAATAATTACAATGAGATTAAAACGATCTGATTTAGATGACTGATTTTGTGGTTTCAATAAACATAACTACCTTTCCGGTGAAAATTAATGTTGCTGCACATTTAAACGAGATTGTAATTTTGAGTGATGACGATTAGAGTTATGTGATTATAGGGTAAGGCTACAATCCCGTTACGGAACCATTCCATCGGTATTTTTAACCATTAGATGCATATGTAGATTACTATAACATGTGCATCTAACAGTTAAAAATCCAACGGAATAATTCCGTAACGGGACTGTAGACTTTTCCGTGATTATATAGATTTAATTATGGCGTAATATGACTCTGAATTCGCTTTATCTCTCCAACAACAAAAATAGGCAAAACTTTTACACTCATTAAATGTATTCTGGACATTTATCTATTCTACTTGTTCAACCCCCCTTCTCTCCCTCTCTCTCTCTCTCTCTCTTTCTCTCTGACTCTCTCTCTCTCTCTCATACACACACACACACACACACACACACGTCACGTCTCACCCTCGCCCATAGTTGATCTTCAACCTTAACGCCATCGGTCGGCCACGATGGCCGTTAGGGCGGGCGCGGCTAACCTACGCCTTCCAGCGGAGAACCAAGTTCCCGACGATGTCCCGACTAGCATTCTTACGGACATTCGGGCCAATTTTCTAAAATTTCTTGAAATTCAGTTTTGTCCCAATTTTGTCATTTTCATCCCGTTAACTACCATAATTTCTCGTTCTTCCTCATGGCCATCACTGATCAATCAAATTCTTCATCCAGCTCTTTGCACCAGTTTCTGGAAAATCTTCCGTCTCATCAACAATGGCGGGCTCGAATTTGCTGTAATTACCTTTTTCTTCATGGTTTTTGCTAAACTCTTCAAATTCGCAGAATTGAACTTCAAGCATATCTCCTCTAGTCCATCGTCTTTGTCGAGCCAAATTGGGTCGGCGGTCTCCATACACTAGACATGCCTAAAAGAGACGAAATCAGGGTGTCGTGTTGGGAATAAGAAGGTGGCTTGGAAGATGAGGGTCTGGAGTTTCTTTTTATAATTTAATAAGTTCTGAGGACTTAGTTGTAATTTTAAATATTTTAATATATTGCAATTTTGTTCGTGAGCCAAATTCATAATTTAACAAAGAATTAATAATTACACTGATATGAGATACCACACTAGGTAGAACAAACTCAATAAATCAGTTGACCAGGCCGAGCGAATTGGTTGGTCGAACAGAGTCGCAAGAAGGTCGAAGGGTAGTCAAGTGCCAGTACAGGATAATGAGTCTTCAGATAAAAAAAGATGTGAGGGGTTTAAAGGGACAAAGACAAGTCGAGTTAGGGCCCTCAGATGGCCTGAAAACTCGACCTGAAGGTATGGTTGGTCATACGATCGACCAAAAGGACAACACGTAAGCTCGGTATGCACAACATTCTACCTCGAAAGGATTCGAACTGGTAACACGATTAGCAGTCTAATAAGACATACTAACGGATAAGAAAGAATATTAATAGGAAGAACCCCACGTGGATAGGGCCACGCGGCCTAACAGAATTGGGCAGATCAGACAATACGAACGGGCAGCTCGGGGACCGAGCAACTCAATCAGGTAGTCTTGGGAAACAAGGTATCATCTCCATATATAAGAGAGTGATGTATGCCCATTGATACATTACTTTCTCTATATTATCTACATACATACAACACATCATCTTCTTCACTGTGCTAACTTAAGCATCAGATGCTCTTCACCGGAATACCATTTCAGTGTGAGAGATTTTGCATGTCTCAGGGACGATCTACCAGCGAGTAGCTCTGATCAGACCGAAAATTTAAGCTGAGGCACAATGCTATACGTACTGAGCTTACGTGTTGTCCTTTTGGTTGATCGTACGACCAACCATACATTCAGGTCGAGTTTTTATCAAGCCATCCGAAGGCCCTAACTCGAACTTTCTTTGCCCCTTTAAACCCCTCACGTCTTCGTCGGCCTAAAGACTCATTGTCCTGTAGTGGTGCTCGAATTCCGTTCGACCAACTAGTTTGCTCGACCTGGTCAGCCGATTTATTGGGTTTGCTCTACCTGGTGTGGTATTGATAGAGATGAGATCGCATTGGCATTTCTGGAGAAATACAATCGGATGCAGTCCTTAATTTGATTATTTATTTCCTAGCTATTTTATTATTATTATTCCCTATTTTCCTTATCCTAGTTGGTAGTTGCATAATTATTATTTACTTTGTTAGCAAGATAGGTATCTTGGCATGTTTGGACTCTTTTAATTTTCTCTCCCTCTTATATAGCCGATCGACTTATTGAATAATATTACAGAAATTTGAGATTTTATATCTGTTCTCCCTTTCGTTCACACTGCGCTACATCAGTTGGTATCCAGAGACCAGGACGATTCCAGATGCCATAAAAAAGGAACGACACTGTCGACAATAGACGCGACGCCGCCATCGAAGCCTTGACACGACAGAGCAAGGGCTTCGTGAGGCAGTTCCAGGTCATGGGCCGTGAATTGCCGGACCTCTCGACGGGCACGTAGGATATCCGTCTGGCTATACAGACGATGATGCAACGCGATGGCACGAACCGCGGCGGGCTCGACGGACGAGGCGACAGTCGTGGGGGGTTTCATGATGGCCGCAGAGGTCGTGGTCAGCCGTGTGTTGGTGGCAGACAGAGAACACCGTGCTAGGAGCTGATGCCACGGTGGAGGATTACAATCCGTTCAGAGTTGATGAACCACGGGTTTACGAAGCAGAGCCGGTTGACCGACGTTGGGAGAATTCGTTCCGCATGGAAATTCTGGAGGTTACGGGGGATGCAATCGACTTTCTTGACTGGCTTGCCGCAGTAGAATCGATTTTGGACTATAACAATGTACCGGATGCATCATGTTGGCCTCGTCACAACACGGCTGCGTGGTAAGGCCGTGTCTTGGTGGCAACACCTGAAGGACTCGTGGCGGCGGCTCAAAAAATAAAAAATCTCGTCGTTGGCGAAGTTCCAGAAGCACATCGAGCGGGATTTTCTTCCATTCAACTTTGTTCGTATTATGATTCAACAACTCCAGAATTTGCAATAGGGTGCTCGATCCGTTGACGAATATACGGACAATTTCTATCATCTTCTCACACGGGTCGATATACGTGCTAGTTGGTGTCGCGTTACGTTGGTGGGTTCCGAGTCACCATCCGAGATACGTTGAATTTGTTCTCGCCGAAAAGCGTATCTGCTGCTAATCAGTGCGCTTTGCTCGTCGAACAACAAATCTCTCAGTGTGTTGCTCTGGCGACGGGTTTTCAGCCTTGCGCAGGCTTGACGCCGTCTTCTGCACCTAGGCAGAATCGTTCCATGGCGATGGGTGGCCCTCAGTCCGATTGCAGCAGCGCACCTGAATGGCCAGATTTCCGGCGATTAGGGGATCGACTAGTGCGGCCGTTGGGTTTGGAGGGTCGCCGGCAATAAATGGCTCGCAAATAGGGGTCGAGCTGCACTGTTTTTCGTGTGGCGTGGTGGACCATCGACAATCAACTTGCCCACGGTGTGGCGATTTGCACTACCTAATAGTGAATTTTGAATTCGACGGCAACGAGGGGATTGTGTATGATGCCCTTCCGATTTTTTACGAGAAGTCTGAGCCGGCCGAGGAGCATCGTTTGCGGCGACGTGGGCCATACGTTGGTTCTTCGGCGTTCGTGTTTGTCGCCTCGGGTCTCGTCTGAGGACTCTTTCCAGCACCATAATATTTTTGAGTCGACGTGTACAGTGGGCGGTCGTGTGTGCCGCTTCATTATCGACTCTAGGTCTTACGAAAACGTGGTGGCTCAAGACGCCGTCGATCAACTTCATTTATCGACGAAACTGCACCCTCATCCGTATACTTTGGCTTGGATTCAGCGTAGTAACGCCATTACTGTTGACCGCCGGTTTATGGTGCACTTTTCGATCGGGCCCAAGTATCGCGACACGCCGTGGTGTGGTGTTGTCCCCCTAGACGTATGTCATCTCTTGTTGGGTTGCCCGTGGAATTTCGATCGTGCAGTGGCTTACAACAGGTGTCTCAACACTTATAACTTCCTGTTCGAGGGAGTTCGTCTGGTGCTTCATCCATCCCCTCATTGTCTACTGCCACGCCTTCGCAGGTTCTTTTTTTATCTCGTGCGGCTTTTGTCGGCGAAATGCGGGAGGCGTTGTTTGTGTTGCTTCTCTTAGGGGCGGATGTCGAGATGAATAGTTCCCCTCTGACCGTTATTCGGCCTTTGCTCGAGGAGTTTTTTGATGTTTTTCCAGATGAATTACCTTCTGACCTTCTTCCGCTTCGGGACATCCAACATCAGATCGATTTGGTGCCAGAAGTGTCTCTGCCGAACCGTCCTCATTATCGTATGAGCCCAACTGAACACGAGGAGTTGTGGCGCCAAGTGGAGGAGCTTTTACAGCGTGGTGTTATTCGTTGTAGTTTTAGCCCGTGCGCCATGTCGACTTTACTCATTCCGAAGAAGAATAGTTCGTGGCGTATGTGTGTTGATAGTTAGGCGATTAATAAGATCACAGTCCGCTATAGGTTTCCCATTCTATGTATTGTCGACCTGTTGGACCAGTTGCATGGTGCTTCGGTCGTTACCAAGCTTGATCTCCGCAGTGGTTAACATCATATTCGCATTCGACCGGGCGATGAGTGGAAGACAACATTTAAGATCATTGATGGTCTTTTTGAGTGGCTTGTGATGCCATTTGGTCTCTTGAATGCACCCAACACGTTCATGCGAGTGATGAACCAAGCGTTGAGCGACCTTATTAGGCGGTGTGTCATCATTTATTTCGACAATATACTCATTTATAGCCGGACTTTGGCAGAGCATTTGGATCATGTACGCGCGGTTATAACAATCTTACGCACCAAGTCTTTTTGTGCAGTGCCCTGGAAGTGCTCTTTTGTGGTCGACTCAATTCTTTTCTTGGGGTTTGTGATATCGGCTACCGGCATTCGTGTTGATGACAGCAAGGTGGCCGCTGTTTGTGAGTGGCCCACACTGACTTCATTTACGGAGGCTCGCAGCTTCCACGGCTTGGCTTCGTTTTACCGTCGGTTCATCTCCCACTTCAGTACTATCACCGCACTGATCACAGACTGTCTTATCGGCAAGACGTTCGTGTGGACTCCTCAGGCGGCAGAGGCTTTTGCTCTTATCAAGAGCAAGCTAACGGCCGCTCTAGTTCTCGCCCTTCCCAATTTTTCTATCTCGTTTCAGCTGTTGTGTGATGCATCGAAGATTGGTATTAGAGTGGTTTTGAGTCAGAATGGACGACCCATTACTTTTTTTAGTGAGAAGTTGTCCGGGACACGGTTACGTTACAACACGCATGATGTCGAGTTCTACGTCGTCTATCGTGTTGCTCGTTATGGGCGATACTATCTTCAGCGCGAGTTTGTCCTCTACACCGACCACGAGGCTTTGCACAACCTTTGTTCTCAAGGCAACCTTTTTTCCCGCCATGCAACGTGGACTTCTTCAAGCAGTTTACTTTTGTTCTGAAGCATTGTTCGGGTGCTTGTAATTGTGCGGTAGACACCTTAACTCATCGTTCGTTGTTGACTGACATGCGGGTTTCAGTGGTCGGGTTTGATTTGCCGCGGGATCTCTATGCGACTGATCCTTTTTTCGGTCCCATTATGACTCGCTTCTCTTAGGGTCCTTTCGAAGACTATACTGTTTCGGCTGAGTTTCTGTTTCGTGGGGTGCGACTATGTTTTCTGGTTGTAGCCTTCGACTGAAGGTGTTGGCTGATCTACATGGTGTTGGACACGTGGGGCATGACCGCTCCATCAATTTGGTACGTCGTTCTTGCCTTCTTTACGACGTGATGTGTCGCGTTTTGTTGGACGGTGCTAAGTATGTCAGGTGTCCGAGGACATCACATCGAACGCCGGGCTATATCGACCCTTGCCGATCCCTTCACGCCCGTAGAGTGCTATTAGTATGGATTTCGTTTTGGGATTACCCCGAACCAAGAGGGGTCATGACTCTATTTTCGTCGTCATCGACCGGTGTTCGAAGATGGTCCATTTTATACCCTGCAAACGGACTGCGGATGTCGTCCATGTGGCTCAACATTTCTTTCGCGCGGTTACATGGTCTGCCGTCTTCTATTGTTTCTGACCGTGAAATGCATTTTCTTAGCTATTTTTGGCATAGCTTGTGGCGTCTTGCCGACACGCAGTTGGAATTCAGTAGTGCCTATCATCCGTAGACTGATGACCGGACAAAGGTCGTCAATCGCTTGCTCAGGAATTTGCAGCGCTGTCTGGTGAGCGAGAACCTACGGAGTTGGGATCATAAGATTAGTCAGGCTGATTTTGCCCATAACTCGGCCTTGAGTCGGGCCACCGGATTCTCCCCGTTCGAGGTGGTTTATGCGGTTAGGCCGCGTGGAGCCGCGGATTTGATCGCCCTACCATCAACCGAGATCGCTGATCGTCGTGCGGAGGACCTGTAGGTCGGCCTCACACGGCGGCATGTTCACGTTTGGAGGAGGTGACGACGGCTTATAAGAAGCGTGAGGATGCTCGTTGACGGCACGTCGAGTTCGACGTTGGAGATTTTGTTTGGGTCGTCCTCACCAAGGATCGTTTCTCGGTGCATGAGTACAACAAGTTATTTGTTCATAAGATTGGGCCGATTGAGATCATCGAGAAGATTAATCCGAATGCATACCGTCACCGTCTTCCGTCGCATTTGAGGACTTCTGACGTTTTCAACGTCAAACATTTGGTGCCATTTCTGGGTGATAATTCCGACGGAGACGAGATCACTCCGGATTCGAGGGCGAATCCTTCCCAACTAGAGGAGGATGATGAAGACGATATCACATTGGCGTTTCTGGAGAAATACGACCGGATGTCGTCCTTAATTTGATTATTTTTTCCTAGATATTTTATTATTATTCCCTATTTTCCTTATTCTAGTTGGTAGTTGCATAATTATTATTTACTTGGTTAGCAAGATAGGTATATTGGCATGTTCATACTCTATTTTTTTCCCTCCCTCTCATATGGCCTAGCGGCTTATTGGATAATGTCAGAGAATTTTGAGGTTTTATATATGTTCTCCCTTTCGTTCACGTTGTGCTACATCAGGTATCCCATATCATGCACAATAATGTGAGGATGCATCTTAGCGCAACGCAAATGACTAAAATACACCAGTAGACTGTGCCTGAGCATTGATATATCACACTCACATAAAATCCCTACGATATCATCCATTCTCATATGATCTTACTTCTATATATATATATATAGAAAATACATAATCGTACATCTCAATTTTAATTTATTATATTGTTCACTCGTATATTTAAGTAATATTTTAAATACTGTACCGATGATCATACCGGACGATTGGGAGCATCCCCAGGCAAGAGTTCAAGGGACCGGAAGGGATCGGAGGATAGTATGGATTAACTCTTGAGTAATGAGCCCGCTCCCTATCTATTGGGGTTGCTCCCCCTGTCTAATTCGATTCGAGTCACCGGTACGCGGTTCAACCGGTTTTAATAAATATTAAATTAATCTATTATAATATAAATAATTTATAAGACTAACTATAATAAATATTAAAATTAACTAAAATACTATAAAAATGTAAATATATTAAATTTAAATGTAGAACTTTCTATTTGCATAAATAAATTAATTAAAATATGTTATAAAAATATATTTTTTTTTAATCCAGTATATCAGGTATTTTAACCGATATTTGGGTCAGTATTGTCCGGTAAAACCGGTATTTTCTAGTATGAAGCCGGTATTTTGGCAAAAATGGTATTTAGGGGGTAATCATACCGGTCGGACCACCGATACCCTGTATTACCTGTATTACCGGCCGATAAATACCGGTATTTAAAACATTGTTTTTAAGTACTATTTATTATTTTATCATTTTCCTACCTCATTAGTTTTATTCATTATTTTTCATCTTGCATCAATTTACATTAAAAAAGTAATTAAATATTCCTCCATCCATCTTACATCAATCTACTTACATTATAAAATAGTTAATTCTTCCTAAGTAAAATTTGCAAATGAAAACATATCAATCCCAGTATCCCACTAATAATTTTTCTATTTCAGATCGAAAATTCTATTGTAGGGTTTGATTTTTGTTAGATTAAAAATTCTATTGTAGAACTTGATTTTTGAGATTGTATTATAGTAGGCTTTGAATTTTCAACTTTTTCAATTGAAAACTTCAATTTTAAGCTATTCTCAATTGAAGACTTACTTTTACATTATACTTTCCAATTTAAGACACCAACTAACTTTGTATTTTGACATAATCATGAAAACCAAAATAATATTATTTTAAAATTTATATTTTAAATAATTATTATAAAAAAATTAGTTATCTTTATTAAAATTACGTTATAAGAAAATCAATTCATATAATTAACATATATGAAAAAGCTTAATCAAAATTTTTTTTAAACGTTAAAAAATATTGAAAACTAAATTTTAAGAATGTATAATTTAAATATTATTATAAATGATAACCTAAATATATTAGAAAAAAAACTTAAAATATTTTTTAAAACTTTAGTTTATTATTTTATTAAATATTTAGATATCAATCAATATAATATTTAAATTATATATTGTTAACATTGAATTTCAAATTTTTAAACTTTTAAAATTAATTTTTCTAAACTTTTTCATAAATGTAACTTATATGAATTAATTTTCTTACTAAGCTAAATTTACTGATATTTAATACTTTTGATTATAAGTATTAATTCCATATATTCTTAATTTTTTAAAAATAAAAATTTCATTCACAAATAATATTTTCAATAATTTTATTTATAAAAATTACAATATTATTATTTAAAGTATACATCTTAAAATAAAAGTAATTTGGTTTACACAATTATATAAAAATATAATATTTATTGAGGTGTTAAATTGAGAATTAGAAGGTAAAAGTACACATTCAATTGAGAATAACTTAAAATTAAAACCATCAATTAAAAAAATTGAAAATTCAGACATACACAATACAAAAAAATCAAATCCTATAATAGAATTTCACCATTTCGGATGATTTATTTGCTTGCATAATAATTAAATAACATAGGGTGGTACTAAGTTAAATTTTGTCCAATAGGAGAGCAACCCATAGTTTATTATTATATATATGAGGTGGTATCCGAGCAAGACATATATAGGGTCGCTATTATCATCACGTTAGGTCTTATCTCATTATAAAATGCAATGCATGGAGCAAATGAGACAAAAATATCCTCTCTTTTAGACAGACAGCCACAATTTCATTTTGCATCACGTAAAATACTACAATCATTCTTTTCTCCTTTATTTCATTTTTTTATTTTTGAGTTTTTAATTTGTACGTAATTCACTTTGATATTTCAGAATCTTCCATACGATAAAGCTGTCCACAATTTGTGTCGGTTGATGTCAAATTATCATAGCATCAAATTATCAATTAAGTTGATGTCAATTTCACTCTAACTGAAAAAATGTTACTTCCTTTTGAAAGCTAAACTTAATGAATGTGCACAAACAAATTAATAATAGGAGAGAAAAGGAAAGAGTTACCCGATACTCTTAGTATGAAGAAGCTTGCCGCCCAAAGAAATCGCCTCATCGAGTTGGTCATTTTCGTACAACAATTTGGGGTCGGAAACCATGGCCAACTTCCTCTTCTTATACGCGGCCACACACACCTGGGCCAGGCGGGTAAACGGGCTGCCCGCCGGGTCAAGCTTTCGGTACAAATTGTACCCAAACACGAACGCAATTACCGAAATGCCCATGGCTACGGTGGGTATACCTAACCCCCAACCCCACCCAATGTTGTCCTGAACGTACACGATGACCGTGTTCGCCACCAGTATCGAAGCCCCCATGCAGAAATAGTACCAATTGAAGAATTTCCAAGTGGACGTTTTCTGCTTAGGGTCATTTTCGTCAAATTGGTCGGCACCGAACGAGACTACGCAGGGTCGGATGCCCCCCGAGCCCAAGGCCGTCAGTAGGAGCGAAATGTAGAGGATTGCCAGCTGGCCTGAGTTCGCTTCCTGGCAAATAATGTTTTGGTTTGTTTTGTTGTTGTTGTTGTTGTTGCAAGGTAGTGGTCTTAGTTTTGGCACCACGGCTGATGTTGTCAAGCTTATCATCCCCTGCTTTCAAAAAAGGATTAAGTTATTTGTACAACTTTTTTTACAACATTCAATGACAACATGATGACAACATCATGTGGCATGATGTGAGTGGTTGAGATGCAAATAAATGTATGGTTGAGATTTGAGTTAATGATACTTTTAACTAAGTTGTCAACCAATGTTGTAAACTACAATTGGGCATATAGCATTGTCCTTCAAAAAAATATTAGACGTGATAGGATAAATAAATAAATAAATTGTTCTCTTTTTTGGATAGAAAATGAATGACAAATATTAGTTCTAATTTTTTCAAAATTCAACCAATATCTTTAGGGCATGAAAAAGGGTACTTCAATGAATAGCTTTTTTAAAGGTAATTAACAGTTCTACAACTTATTATAGCTTCATTAGCTAATTGGTAAATAGTTAGGTTAATAAATTTTATGAATTCTCAAAAAAGTTCACGGCCACGTGTTACAAAAAGACGGTGAAAAATTAAGTAAAATTAACAATCCAAAACACAGTAATTAACTAATTGGTATAAGAAAACACAACTTAACTATTTGGTAAATTATGGAAGCAATCGTGATGGTCCAAAACCTTCCGGCAAAGGAGTCGGCTAAGAAGGCGCCGACCAGAGGAGTCATGGCGGCTGTGCCTCCAAAATTTGTTAGTGTATTGGCTGCCTTAGTAAGAGGTAAGTGTAGCTGACTTGTCAAGTAGCTTATCATGTTTGTACTAAACCCGACGACAGCCAATTTCTCACATATTTCATTTGCTGCACAAAAATAAAAAAAATAATAGATAATCATTTTTAGTTTTTAATATATATATTTTCTCCTTGTAATGATTACAAAGAACCTTGTAATAAATTTTCATTTTCTTTTTTCAATTTTTGTTCATCACAGATTGATTGGCTAACCATACTGAGAATAGCAAGAGCTTACATGATAACAAATTGATAATTAGTAATTAAACAGAGACAAGTAGGATAAAAATGAATTGCAAAATTGAGTTATGTAATTTTAAACAACAAAGCTCACCAAAGATGAAAGGCATGGTGACAAAGCCTCCCTTCTTCTTTTCGACATTAATTTGGCATTTTTGCTCCACTGTTTCCATCTTCGTGGTTTCTTGGTAGCAATGGCTCATCTATTTAGGCATTTTATAGGTGGAATATATCGTTTTTTATTATAATTTGTACATGTCATTGATATTTCTACTATTTTCCTTTGTTTCTTCGTGATATCACCGAATGTGGATATAGTACATATCTGCCTTCTGTGAAACCCAAGTTGGATAATTATCCACCTCGTTTGATTATTTCATTGAAATTACTTATAGGGACAACATTTTGTACCTGTTTAAAAATATAATTTCTTTTGAGAGCATTGTTTATATTTTTTTTTTTTGTTTTAATTAGTATTTTTGGTTAACCATAACTAGCAGCTAGTTTTGAAAAGTTGATTGAGTTAAGTTTGAGTGAGATTTTGAATTTGTATTAAAATATTATTTGAAATAAAATGATTATAGTTGATTTGATGTAAAAATAGGAGAGATATAATTGAAAATGATGGCTAGTTAAAATTATGTGAGTGAATGAATAGTGAATTAAAATTGATGTGATGAGTATGGATGATTGATTTATATTATTCAGTTATATTAATAATATTGATGATAGCGAGATTGGATTAAATTTGAGTTAGATTTGAGTTGAGATTGCTTTTTTTTTGGGAAAACATATAACCAAGCATGCTCGAATCTTTTTTAAGTTTCTGACATACGTATTTTTATATATATATTTGGAGTGATTTTTATTCTTGTTTCGTCATAATTTATTTAATATATAATTCTTCAATTTTATTGATTTTATTAAACAGTGATGAAGGTTGTTCTCTTTGTACTTTTGTAGAAAAATGGTCGAATATTGTCGAGAAAGTGATTTTACGGAATGACGACGAAAAATGAATTTAAACGGGCCAAATACCCATGAGAAATGGATTAGAGACGAGTTAGAATCAGAATGGACCCAGTGGCGCGAGCCGGGACCCATCTGTGCAAGTTGGGCTTGAGTTGGACCACGAGGCATGTGTTGGGATTTATTAGGGTCTCGTTATGTACAAGTTACGAATTCAATAGCAAACGTAAAACTTATGCGCAGCGGATCTAAAGGTTTGACGTAGAAAACTTACGGCTTAAAATTTTCTGAATTTGATGGATTCGAATTCGACCTCTGTATCGAGGACTGGAATAAGCCCACCGTATCCTCATCGAGAACAAGCCACTTTTGGCTCACTGTGGCTTATCTCCTTGTCGATTTGTTGGTCTGACTCCTGAGCAGATTGGTATTTAATAATCTCACCTTGCTTTGTTTTCATTTATTCATTCTGTATTGATCATTGTGCTTTCCTCCTTTTATTGCAGAAGGACTTTTTAAATTGAAGGGCCGTCACTCCGTTTTCATCCCAAAGAGCAAGAAAACCAACTCTGTTTCCAAAGGGGCTAACCTCAGGCCTCTACAAAAAGAGCCCAAGCGCTCCCGACCAAAGGAACCTACGGTCGGGGTTAGCAAAAACCGACCTCAACCCAAGCAGGGGTCGCATCCTAAGAAAGAGGTGCGCACCAAGCGCATCGAAGCTGTTGCTCCTGAGGATGTCCCTTCCTCGACCTCCCATCCTTGAGAGGCTCCATTTGACCACTCTATTCCCTCGCTCGAGCAGGTACCAAAAACTCCCTCAACCACTCCAGTCGAGGCCATTGTTTCTTTTGCCTTTAACTCCTAGGGGGCAGCGATCATTGGGCACCTCATGAGGTGCCTTCCTGAGGCCGAAACCCATCAGTGGGGAGCCGACCAAGTCGATCGAGTGGAATCTGCTGCCAAGAGCTTGGAGCAGGTATTCTTTATTTACATTATTATTTAGTATCACTCAATACTTTGTCTGTTTTTACCTGTCCTGATTGTCCTCTGAATTTTCATTCTTTGTTGTTGTCGTGCCCATCTCCGATGATGTCATCAGAGGCTTGGGCCCCTCCATCCAGAACCTCGAAGCTGCCAACAAAGACCTGGTTGCCGAGGTGAAACGAGTTAATGGGCTTAAGGCCTAGCTAACCACCGAGATGTCCAATTGTGAGCACCGCCACAGGGATGATCTAAAGGCCAAGAAGGTTGAGCTTGAGCAGACCTGAGCTCAACAAGTGGAGGCCGAGATGAAGCTCGAAAAGGCTATTGACTAGGCCGTTGCTCGCGGTTGCCAAGAGGGCCATCGAGCTTTTTTTGGCTCATCCCTCGGTGAGGCATTCCTCGACTCCTACCGCCAACAGGTGGTCGAGGACTTCTGTCAGTCGCCTCAGCTTCTCCATATGCTCGTGCCTTCAGCGCATGAGTTTATGCAGATAGCTATTGACGAAGTGTACTCTCAAGCAGTAGCCCAAGGCTTCACTCTTATAGAAAAGACCTTCGACCGGCTAGAACAAGCTAGAAACATCTGAATCTCGAGCTGGTCGCCAGAGGGGTTTTCTGGTGAATAGTCTCAGATGCTTAAGTTGGCACTTGAAGAAGATGAAGAGTTATATGAAAATTGTAATAAAGAATTGACTGCGCGTCGCGACGCGGCAAATTAGAATTTATATTTTTTTCCTCGACTAACCTCTACTAACTAGTAGTAGTAGCGAGCAAGGGTCGATCCCACGAGGAGTGTGAACCAAATTGTGAATTTTTTCATATTAATTGAAATTATGAAAGCGATAAAAGTTTGGGGAAGTAAAATAATAATGAAGCAAATAAAATCTAAACAATGAAAATAAAAATAAAATAAAATAAACAAAGAGAAAATTTCTAGTTCACGGTTCCATCTCCACCCTCGCTCGACTAGTCTAATTAATTATGACGTCAAACTTCGTTATTTCATGAAATTACTAGCCCTATGTAACAACACGCTCTGCTACCCGAATTTTTCCTTACTTTTAATTTAACCGCGAAACGCTCTACGATTAAACCTGAATTCATGTACAGTTTAGGACACGCTCTCTAGATCTTAAATAGGTTGTGTTATCCCCGTTAGTTACCATCTTCCGGTTGGTCTTATGAATTAAACACATCAACAATTACGGATTGAAGGTCTAACTCTAGCTATAGATATAAAAAATCTTATGTAGATAATCAATCTAAATAAAATCAAAACACATCATGGTTGCTCAATCAAAATAACACAAACAATTTCATAAAAATAGCAAAATAATCAATCACCGTAATCAATTAAACATAGTCAAGTACGTAGGGTTCGACATTCCCGAAAATAAAAATAAAAATTAGCCTAACATAATAAATAATAAAAGAAAAAAATAAGATTATTTCCTTTCGTGTACGGTGCGGCCTCCTTCCTCGTTTAATCGGATTCCTCGCGCCTGCTTTCTCTCCCTCTGCTGCGGCGTATATTTTCTTCTGTCTGTGTATATTGTTTCTTACCCAAAGCCTGTGTGTTTTTCCGTGCGTGAATATGTTCAAGGGTTTGAGCAAATAAATCCTCTGCTTGGCGGCTCTCTAAAAGTGGCGTGATTGTGTCTTGTTTTTTCTCCCAATTAATCCTCCTCCCAATTGAACTCCCAGGCCCACTTTATTATTTGATACTCAATTTTTTGAGATAATTACTCCACAAACGAGCATATGAGTTTTTTATTGCATATATACAAAAGATACATCTTATTAGCTGATTAAGGAAAAAAAATATACATTTATTAGGCGACACGTGGTTCGGGAGAATGAAGACACGTGTACCCCGAGGACCGTTAGTGTCTAAAGTCAAGGCTGAAGCTTAATCTCAAGTTAGGCCTAAGCAGGGGCGGATCCAGCTTATAAATTGAGTGAGGGCCAAATTTAGTTTTATTTTTTAATATAATAACCAAAGTATAATACATAAACAAACCTTCATAGTTATTCTTACGAGTTTTTAATAAGACAGTATCTCTATATAATAACGTCAATGAATTTGTAATCTCATTTTATTTCAACCAAACAATATTGGATTTCACCTCAAGTAAAATTAGAATGAAAGTAATACATTTTAAAACACTTTTACATGCACTTTTTTGTCGAGAAATTTTCTGAAAATATTTCTCCATATTTATTGAAAAATAAATTATAATGTATAAAATGGTTTATCTGATATATCAAACTTGTAAGAGCACTACAAATTAAGTTATCATTCACACACAAATTAAAATAATAATATTAGATTTTTATATAATTAAGAAACAAAAATTAATTAACTACAAGAATGCTAATAATATTAAAAAAAGAGTTTAATTTTTTCGTTCATACCTAATAAAAAGAAAGTGTTAGATTATAAGTATAGGTATTTCTTTTCCCCATTATCTCCCTTTTATTATTATGATTTGTTTGGTGTTCGCTAAGGTATTGTTTATTAATTTCAATAATTTTTTGTTTATGAATTATTAAGCATTTTTTATGTCTTAATATCCAAGTCATAGTATTTTTTATTTTATTTTTTGAGTGTGGGCCTAGGCCCACACTAAGCACCATATGGATACGCCCCTGGGCCTAAGGTCCTAAGGTCCCGAGGAGTTTCACCTTAGGCCCAAGATCCTGAGGAGTCTCACTATAGGCCCAAGGTTTAAATGTGGCCCAACTGGTGGACCATAGTCCGCTAAGCTAACGGGCTGGGAAGTCCTCCGTCTGCATAGGGAAGACCTAGGTCATCCGACCTCTATAAAAGGTAAGGGGCGGATTCTCTTCTCTACGCATTTTACAGACACCATCTGAAAAACCTAACACCAACTCTAACTTAAGCATCGGAGGATCTACCCCTGGGAACAACCGCGGGGTTCTGTTTTGCAGGCGTCGGAGCAAAGGAGACGCATCAAGGAGGACGTCGGAGCATCAATCGTCGCCACGTGTCCTCTGACTAACTTCAGGTAATTCTTGTATCATCATTAGCATATATACAACATTCGATATTTTTATTTGCATATGAACGAAAAAGCATCAGTTTCCTTTTTTTAGGGCAAAAACCAAAAACAAAATCTCAAACCTCTGACGGAGCACCACAATTCCACCCCAAAATTCCACCACCGCAAAAAAAATGGCCGCAACTTACTATTTCGATCAACCCATCATCGGCGACTCCGCCACCGGAGGAAACGACTCCAGCTATGTGCCGGACTCAGTCAAACCATTCGTAGTTCATATGTACCGCTCGTAAGAGATGATTAATTGAGAACAAAGAGGAAATCGGACGCGACGACTCACAGATCGAACGATGGACCATCGTCTGTGGCTCATTAACCGGCGGCGGAGCTACACGTGACGATCGAACCTCGGATCCGGTCACTAACGGGAGACGACCATCGGCGAAAAGGAAAACAAGCAGGCTGGCGGATTTCGGTCGAGGGCGGCCAAGCCATGTGTTACAACCCCACGCCTAGATCTCGTGTTGTGGACAAACCCGTCAACTCTTTGATGTATATAATGTATTATCAATATATATTCTGTATATATTTTGTATATATTCTGTATATAATGACTATTTGTTTTTTTGTCTATATATCTTCTGTATGTCTTATGTATATAATGACTATATATTCAGTATATTTTCTGAATATAATGCGTTTTTAGTTTTCCTTTTATCTTCTGTTATGTATATAATGACTATATATTCAGTATATATTCTGTATATGATGTGTTTTGGTTTTCCTTTATCCGGTGGGATTAGGGCTCGATTTTTCCAATCGAGAGGAGATGAAGAATGTGGTCGAAGCCGCGCAGTCTCCGCTTCTGAGCCGAACCCCCTGAAAAGAAACGGGGAAGAAAGAAAAAAAATTAAAGAGAGAGGAAAGAGAAAAAGAAATGGGGAAGAAACAGGGGAAGTATCGCGTTTAAAGAGATAGGAAAGAGAAAAAAAACGTGCCATCTTTATAGAAACAATTTTCGTAGATGTGCAAATTAAATTCTATTTAACAATCGATATGTATGTATGTAAATTGCCCCAATTTTTTTGGGCGAAAAGACACATATATACCCTTTGAAACAAACTTTTCCACAATGACGATCATTTGAGAACAATTCCAGTTTATGTCCCCGTTTCTTTTCTAGTTTAAATCCATTTGATAACAATTCCAGTTTATGTTTCCGTTTCTTTTCTTGTTTGCCTTTAAAATAAAAAAAATGCATATCGTTTTCTTCAATGATTCTTTTAGATTGTTTTCAGTTTATTTTAAGTTTATGTATTAGATTGTTTTTAGTTTATTACATGATATCAAAAATTTATTTAAAACTAATTTGAAACTTTTAATTTATCTTAAGTTTATTATCTATTTTTGACTAAATCACGAAAAAATAAATAAACAAAAAAATCGAGTGTAAAAAAAAATGAATATAAACTAAAATAAGAATGAAAAAACCAGTTAATAAACGTAATCAAGTTTATTATCTAGTTTTTGCTAAATCACGAAAAAATAAATGCAATAAAAAAATAAAGCACTTAATAAACGTAATCAAATCATCATAAACATCAAATTAACTCTCAAAATCCTTCAAAAACACAAATATATTCGCCTTGTACTCACCCAGAATCAAGATCCGATCAAAATTTCAGTCATGGGCAATATTTCAAAGTCTGTTTCAAATACCAAAGAAAAATTGAACATAAATTAAAAATAAATTCCAGCAACTCGTAGATCCAACTATCAAT